TTTTTCAAATCGATTATATGATCAAATCTGATTTGGTGGACAGTCGAAAAACGTCCAAAATCACGACTATAATAGCCCGGGCATGTTCCTATTCGAACTTTGAACGTCGGGAGGGTTTGGGCGGTTATCATTGAGTGCCTGCCGATATTTTGGCGAAGTATTTCGTTTCCAGCACATATACTTCAGGAATAAAGTCCACTGGACAGCAAATATTGCACTTTTTGTGAAATGCACCAAGGGCAAGGCAACGTTTTAGAAATACTAGATAACCTTGAGCCCAAAGGAGGGTGTGGCTCGACCCGTAATGTGTGGTTCAAGTATTAATCCCTTTCCAATTCTGTGACATGAAGCCATTTTTACGATTTAATAGACCATATTGTCTTTTTGACGTTGTTTTCGCCGAGAAATGCCCCATAGCGCCAGAACAGTACCAGAAAGAGCGAAACGAACGAAAATTTCGCCCCAAGGGCTCTACTTTGATGAGGTTCTCCTTAGGAAACTGTAAAATAATATTTTTAAAATCATTATTTGTGGGATCTGTTAAACATACTTTATATATGTAAAATGTATATAAAAATGCAATAAATACATTTTCACAAAATATAACTATGTTTGTATGGTCATACAAGGGAGCGTGGGGCCCCATGAGCCTGGGGGTCCCATGAGCCTGGCCTAATATCTAAGCATTAGTAAATCAGAGCCGCTGATCCAAAACTCTTGACTCAAATACTAACATTGAAGGTATTAACTTACTAATGCAACAATCTTACCTAAAATACTAATCCTTAGTATATTAAAATCCCGGACCAAATCTGGGAAGGACCCTGCGCTCAGCTCTGGATGATCGCACTTCATAAAAGTGTTCAAGTCCTAGTACCAATTCCGATCAATTTTTAAACAAAATGTTGTAGTCTTGGATGCAGATTGAAAAATATGAATTGTTGTAACATTTTTTGTTTTCGTTTACAAATCACTATGGGCTTATAGGCCGCCAGGAACTGCCGCTAGATGGCGTCACGGTCAGAGCGTTTCTTACAAACACCATTTTTTGCATAAAACCAAAATTTTGGCATGAAACTAAAATTTAATTTTACGTTGTACGCTGTCAAATTCCTGCGAATAAGTATTTTGCTCCTTTGTAACTACGAAGTATCTACTTCGCAATTACAACGTAATGCTTTGCAATTACAAAGTGATGCTTTGCAATTGAAAAGCGATGCTTTGCAATTGAAAAGCGATGCTTTGCAGCGTTTTCATTGCTCCCCAATTGCAAAGCATCACTTTGTGGCTCGCGTCTATCGCTGTCTAGTCGACATTTGGAGTTCTTAGTGCCTGTCTTTTCATAATGCTTTCAACGTCACCTTACTTATATTCATGACATGCTATCAAGTAAAATAAATATGCAACAATAAAAGCAGGTGAAAACTGGCAATCTTTCTTGTTCCTCTAATCCTTCCACATCATTCTACTACTCAGCTGGCAACAAACATGTCTAGGTAAGAGAGTGACAAAGCGATGGAAATGTAGTCATACGAGTACTGCGAACGTCACTTAAAGAAATTACGAGTAAGTTGTATGGTGGGAGCCATAATATCACCGGCTATATTTACGCCAGACCACGTCTCGCGTAACAGGCTTCGCGATATCTCACGAAACACAATTACGCTGCGACGTGCCTGGCGCACATATAGCTGGGCCTGCAGCGCTGAAACCCGAGACGAGTTAAGGAGAGGGTATAGGTGAATAGGGCCTTCCGGCTAGGGTGGCCCACGGCAAAACAATTATCAGACCGGCGGTTGGATATTAAAGATCGAGATGACCCATGCTGTTGGCATTCCAAAACCGCCCCGTTTGTCCCGATCGGACCCCGGGAACCACTCGCTCAACGCCTTTGCATTTTAACATGGGTTTTTTATAAGCTTTTGGGTGTAAAATCAAAAAGCGACCCTGTAGAGTCAAAAAGTCACCATAGAGCAATATAATTATGAAATTCGTAATGTACGTTAAAAACTGAATCTGGCAATATAGCGATCGTTACTGTACCACCTAGTACCCAGATTTGTTACCTCTCATAAATCTCCATATTTTGAAAAATGAGTGAAAATTCAAAGCTCAGCAAATCTTGGTACTGGGTGCTACAGTAACGAACGATACACTGTCAGATACAGTGTTCAACGTAGATTACGAATTTCACAATTATAATGCTCTATGGTGACTTTCTGACTACAGGGTCGCTTTTCGATTTTACACCCAAAAGCCCATAAGAAACCCATGTTAAAATGCAAAGACGTTGAGCGAGTGGTTCCCGGGGTACGATCGGGACGAACGGGGTGGTTTTGGAATGCCCAGCATGGGTCATCTCGATCTTTAACATCTAACCACCGGTCTGATATTTTTTTTGCCGTGGGCCACCCTACCTTCCGGCCCCAAAATTTGACATACTCGAACCGTTTGTCGGGGTCTTATTACTTTAAAGTAAAGAACATGAAACTTCTGCTGTTCGGTAACGGTTTTCATTAAAAGTTCTAATTTTGACAGATTGATATGTAACAAGCAGGCCCGCCCTTCCGCCAAACGAAGTTGCCAGCTTCGCTTCGCTGCGCCGGCAACTCCGTTCGGCAGGGGCCGGGCTTGCTTGGCCTGC